AGAGAGAGAGAGAGAGAGAGAGAGAGAGAGAGAGAGAGAGAGAGAGAGACTTGCCTATTATCTAATTACAGCAAAGACAGAATACAACCTAGTTCCACTGACATTCAGACTAACTTCATTCTATTATAATAAATTCTAATTTTCAATTTTCACAGCCTCCATAGTATTACATTATTACCAATCACAACTGTTGTGTGTTAACTGCTTCAAAAGAAAGTAACTTTAGTATAAACAGTGATACTCTCTCAAACTGTGTAGATGGTACAGTTTGTCAGGTTGTCTAAAATGGTGTCATTCTTTTTTCTCCTCATGTCATTAATTATTTTCATATCTAAATACTCATGTCTTAGTTTTCTAAATTCTTCATTTTTACATTTCCATAAAGACATATCCAGTATCATTTGGATAAACAACTTTAGAACTGTCTCCTAAGCACACTGAGAAAGCATGGTGTCAGTATAAAACAAACATTTTCTTGTGCTATGGACACAGTTAAAAATATATTTTTGGTGGAGTAGTTGTGAGGACATGAGGCAATGTATGGAAGTTTATAAAATTAAGACTTACCTTATGAAAGCCCGTCTCCCGCTTAACTCAGCAGCTCAATGCCAACTCCTCATGTGATTATCACTGCAACTGTTTTTATAATTGAAAAACTCCTCCTCTCTGAAAGCGTAGTTTCCCCACAGGAAAAAGCCACTCCCACAGGGTTCAGAGGTTATGAATTCCATGCTAATTAGAAAAAAAAATGACAAGTCATCCTCTTACCACATATAACAACTAGTTAATATTTTCCTTTTGAAGGTCTGCAAATAAAAGATAAAACAAAAATCATCATAATTGTCTACAATCTTATTTTGCTGGCTGGATTAAAACAAAACGTTGTTGGACTCTGCCTCCCAGTCAATGGGGCATGGCTTTTTGAAGGAATTTACTGTGAGGTTTTCCCAAATTAAATGCAAGGACTAAGGCAGATGAGAAATTTCTCGTGTGAGCAGAGCAGGGAGCTGATGTCGGTAAAGGACAAGCTGATCTCTGGAATACCTCTTAGGACATATTTATACTATAATATGATTTTTTTAATCTGAAGTTCACATTTAACTGGGTGTCCTGTATTTTCTCTGCTAAATCTGACAACCCAGTTAGCTTACTCTTTCCTCTCTGCCACACTGAGATCAGCCTTTCTAGCCTTTGGGCCTTTGCACATACTATTTGTTCTGTTTGGAATATTCTGCTTTGAGCTCCCACTCTATTTCCCCTTTTGTCTTTCCTTACATTATGTGTTTCATATCAGTTTTCCCCATAGTCTGTGAGGTCCTGAGGTAGGGCCTTATTTCATCTTGTATTTACTCAAGTCCTCATGGTCTGGCACAACACCTGGCACATAGTAGGAGGTCAATAAATAATACAGTTTTTAAAAATTATTACATGGAAAATTTCCAGCAAATGCAACCATAGAAAAAATAGTAGAAAGCAGAGAAAGTGTAATGTACCCACCTCCCTGTTTCAGCAATTGCCAACCGTCTTTTTTTTTTT